GCATCACGTTTTTAATATATAGTTGTCATAAAAATACATTGAAAAAGCTTTGACCTTTTTCAGGAAGTGGAAGAGAAGAAAGAAGACAATAAACAAGAAGAATGAAACCAGCATTCCGGAGATCTCTGCGAGTAATGTAAAGGAGCAACAAGGAGTGAGGAGGACGGAGAAACCCGACTCATTGGAGAGGTGAGGACCCCTGGAGGTGGTGGGAGAGGTGAGGACCCTGGAGGTGGTGGGAGAGGTGAGGACCCTGGAGGTGGTGGGAGAGGTGAGGACCCTGGAGGTGGTGGGAGAGGTGAGGACCCTGGAGGTGGTGGGAGAGGTGAGGACCCTGGAGGTGGTGGGAGAGGTGAGGACCCCTGGAGGTGGTGGGAGAGGTGAGGACCCTGGAGGTGGTGGGAGAGGTGAGGCCCCTGGAGGTAGTGGGAGAGGTGAGGACCCCTGGAGGTGGTGGGAGAGGTGAGGACCCCTGGAGGTGGTGGGAGAGGTGAGGACCCCTGGAGGTGGTGGGAGAGGTGAGGACCCCTGGAGGTGGTGGGAGAGGTGAGGACCCTGGAGGTGGTGGGAGAGGTGAGGACCCCTGGAGGTGGTGGGAGAGGTGAGGACCCCTGGAGGTGGTGGGAGAGGTGAGGACCCTGGAGGTGTGGGGAGAGGTGAGGACCCTGGAGGTGGTGGGAGAGGTGAGGACCCTGGAGGTGGTGGGAGAGGTGAGGGCCCTGGAGGTGGTGGGAGAGGTGAGGACCCTGGAGGTGGTGGGAGAGGTGAGGACCCCTGGAGGTGGTGGGAGAGGTGAGGACCCCTGGAGGTGGTGGGAGAGGTGAGGACCCTGGTGGTGGTGGGAGAGGTGAGGACCTCTGGAGGTGGTGGGAGAGGTGAGGACCCCTGGAGGTGGTGGGAGAGGTGAGGACCCCTGGAGGTGGTGGGAGAGGTGAGGACCCCTGGAGGTGGTGGGAGAGGTGAGGACCCCTGGAGGTGGTGGGAGAGGTGAGGACCCTAGTGGTGGTGGGAGAGGTGAGGACCCTGGAGGTGGTGGGAGAGGTGGGGACCCCTGGAGGTGGTGGGAGAGGTGAGGACCCCTGGAGGTGGTGGGAGAGGTGAGGACCCTGGTGGTGGTGGGAGAGGTGAGGACCCCTGGAGGTGGTGGGAGAGGTGAGGGCCCTGGAGGTAGTGGGAGAGGTGAGGACCCCTGGAGGTGGTGGGAGAGGTGAGGACCCCTGGAGGTGGTGGGAGAGGTGAGGGCCCTGGAGGTGGTGGGAGAGGTGAGGACCCCTGGAGGTGGTGGGAGAGGTGAGGGCCCTGGAGGTGGTGGGAGAGGTGAGGACCCCTGGAGGTGGTGGGAGAGGTGAGGACCCCTGGAGGTGAGGTGGTGGTGGGAGAGGTGAGGACCCCTGGAGGTGGTGGGAGAGGTGAGGACCCCTGGAGGTGGTGGGAGAGGTGAGGACCCTGGTGGTGGTGGGAGAGGTGAGGACCCCTGGAGGTGGTGGAGAGGTGAGGACCCTGGAGGTGGTGGAAGAGGTGAGGACCCCCTGGAGGTGGTGGGAGAGGTGAGGACCCCTGGTGTGGTGGGAGGTGAGGACCCCTGGAGGTGGTGGGGGAGAGGTGAGGACCCCTGGAGGTGGTGGGAGAGGTGAGGACCCTGGTGGTGGGAGAGGTGAGGACCCCTGAGGTGGTGGAGAGGTGAGGACCCTGGTGGTGGTGGGAGAGGTGAGGACCCCTGGAGGTGGTGGGAGAGGTGAGGACCCTGGAGGTGGTGGGAGAGGTGAGGACCCTGGAGGTGGTGGGAGAGGTGAGGTGAGGGCCCTGGAGGTGGTGGGAGAGGTGAGGACCCCTGGAGGTGGTGGGAGAGGTGAGGACCCTGGAGGGTGGTGGGGAGAGGTGAGGGCCCTGGAGGTAGTGGGAGAGGTGAGGACCCTGGAGGTGGTGGGAGAGGTGAGGACCCTGGAGGTGGTGGGAGAAGTGAGGACCCCGGAGGTGGTGGGAGAGGTGAGGACCCTGGAGGTGGGGAGGTGAGGGCCTTGGAGGTGCCTTGGAGGTGGTGGGAGGGAGTGGTGAGAGGTGAGGATCCTGGAGGTAGTGGGAGAAGTGAGGACCCTGGAGGTGGTGGGAGAGGTGAGGACCCTGGAGGTGAGTGGGAGAGGTGAGGGCCCTGGAGGTAGTGGGAGAGGTGAGGGCCCTGGAGGGTAGTGGGAGGAAGTGAGGACCCTGGAGGTAGTGGGAGAGGTGAGGGCCCTGGAGGTAGTGGGAGAAGTGAGGACCCTGGAGGTGGTGGGGAGAGGTGAGGACCCTGGAGGTGATGGGAGAGGTGAGGACCCTGGAGGTGGTGGGAGAGGTGAGGGCCCTGGAGGTGGTGGAGAGGTGAGGACCCTGGAGGTAGTGGGGAGAAGTGAGGACCCTGGAGGTGGTGGGAGAGGTGAGGACCCTGGAGGTGGTGGGAGAAGTGAGGGCCCTGGAGGGGGTGGGAGAGGTGAGGACCCTGGAGGTAGTGGGAGAAGTGAGGACCCTGGAGGTGGTGGGAGAGGTGAGGACCCCTGGAGGTAGTGGGAGAAGTGAGGACCCCTGGAGGTAGGGGGAGAGTGAGGGACCCTGGAGGGTGGGGGAGAGGTGAGGACCCCTGGAGGTAGTGGGAGAAGTGAGGACCCTGGAGGTGGTGGGAGAGGTGAGGACCCCTGGAGGTAGGGGGAGAAGTGAGGGCCCTGGAGGTGGTGGGAGAGGTGAGGACCCCTGGAGGTAGTGGGAAGAAGTGAGGACCCTGGAGGTGGTGGGAGAGGTTGATACCCCTGGAGGGTGGTGGGAGAGGTGAGGGCCCTGGAGGTAGTGGAAGAAGTGAACGGAGGGAGAGGTGAGGACCTGGAGGTGTTGGGAGAGGTGAGGACCCTGGAGGTAGTGGGAGAAGTGAGGGCCCTGGAGGTGGTGGGAGAGGTGAGGGACTGGAGGTAGTGGGGAGAAGTGAGGACCCTGGAGGTTGGTGGGAGAGGTGAGGGCCCTGGAGGTAGTGGAAGAAGTGAGGACCCTGGAGGTGTTGGGAGAGGTGAGGACCCTGGAGGTGGTGGGAGAGGTGAGGGCCCTGGAGGTGGGGAGGTTAGGGCCCTGGAGGTAGTGGGAGAGTGAGGACCCTGGAGGTGGTGGGAGGGTGATGACCCTGGAGTAGTGGGGAGATGAGGACCCCTGGAGGTGGTGGGAGAAGTGAGGACCCTGGAGGTGGTGGGAGAGGTGAGGACCCCTGGAGGTGGTGGGAGAGGTGAGGACCCTGGAGTGGTGGGAGAGGTGAGGAACCCCTGGAGGTAGTGGGAGAAGTGAGGACCCTGGAGGTGGTGGGAGAGGTGAGGACCCCTGGAGGTGGGGGGAGAAGGTGAGGCCCCCTGGAGTTAGTGGAAGAAGTGAGGACCCGGATGTGTTGGGAGAGGTGAGGACCCTGGAGGTGGTGGGAGAGGTGAGGACCCTGGAGTGTGGGAGAGGTGAGGGCCCTGGAGGTGGTGGAGAGGTGAGGGCCCTGGAGGAGAGAAGTGAGGACCCCTGGAGGTGGTGGGAGAGTTGAGGAGAGGTGAGGACCCTGGAGGTGGTGGGAGAGGTGAGGACCCTGGAGGTGGTGGGAGAGGTGAGGACCCTGGAGGTGGTGGGAGAGGTGAGGACCCCTGGAGGTGGTGGGAGAGGTGAGGACCCTGGAGGTGGTGGGAGAGGTGAGGACCCTGGAGGTAGTGGGAGAGGTGAGGACCCTGGAGGTGGTGGGAGAGGTGAGGACCCTGGAGGTGGTGGGAGAGGTGAGGACCCTGGAGGTGGTGGGAGAGGTGAGGACCCTGGAGGTGGTGGGAGAGGTGAGGACCCTGGAGGTGGTGGGAGAGGTGAGGACCCCTGGAGGTGGTGGGAGAGGTGAGGACCCCTGGAGGTGGTGGGAGAGGTGAGGACCCCTGGAGGTGGTGGGAGAGGTGAGGACCCCTGGAGGTGGTGGGAGAGGTGAGGACCCCTGGAGGTGGTGGGAGAGGTGAGGACCCTGGAGGTGGTGGGAGAGGTGAGGACCCCTGGAGGTGGTGGGAGAGGTGAGGACCCCTGGAGGTGGTGGGAGAGGTGAGGACCCTGGAGGTGGTGGGAGAGGTGAGGACCCTGGAGGTGGTGGGAGAGGTGAGGACCCTGGAGGTGGTGGGAGAGGTGAGGACCCCTGGAGGTGGTGGGAGAGGTGAGGACCCTGGAGGTGGTGGGAGAGGTGAGGACCCCCCCTGGAGGTGGTGGGAGAGGTGAGGACCCTGGAGGTGGTGGGAGAGGTGAGGACCCCTGGAGGTGGTGGGAGAGGTGAGGACCCCTGGAGGTGGTGGGAGAGGTGAGGACCCTGGAGGTGGTGGGAGAGGTGAGGACCCCTGGAGGTGGTGGGAGAGGTGAGGACCCCTGGAGGTGGTGGGAGAGGTGAGGACCCCTGGAGGTGGTGGGAGAGGTGAGGACCCCTGGAGGTGGTGGGAGAGGTGAGGACCCTGGAGGTGGTGGGAGAGGTGAGGACCCCTGGAGGTGGTGGGAGAGGTGAGGACCCTGGTGGTGGTGGGAGAGGTGAGGACCCCTGGAGGTGGTGGGAGAGGTGAGGACCCTGGAGGTGGTGGGAGAGGTGAGGACCCCTGGAGGTGGTGGGAGAGGTGAGGGCCCTGGAGGTAGTGGGAGAGGTGAGGACCCCTGGAGGTGGTGGGAGAGGTGAGGACCCCTGGAGGTGGTGGGAGAGGTGAGGGCCCTGGAGGTGGTGGGAGAGGTGAGGACCCCTGGAGGTGGTGGGAGAGGTGAGGACCCCTGGAGGTGGTGGGAGAGGTGAGGACCCCTGGAGGTGAGGTGGACCCCTGGAGGTGGTGGGAGAGGTGAGGACCCCTGGAGGTGGTGGGAGAGGTGAGGACCCTGGAGGTGGTGGGAGAGGTGAGGACCCCTGGAGGTGGTGGGAGAGGTGAGGACCCTGGAGGTGGTGGGAGAGGTGAGGACCCTGGAGGTGGTGGGAGAGGTGAGGACCCCTGGAGGGTGGTGGGAGAGGTGAGGACCCCTGGAGGTGGTGAGGACCCTGGAGAGGTGAGGACCCTGGAGGTGGTGGGAGAGGTGAGGACCCTGGAGGTGGTGGGAGAGGTGAGGACCCCTGGAGGTGGTGGGAGAGGTGAGGACCCCTGGAGGTGGTGGGAGAGGTGAGGACCCCTGGAGGTGGTGGGAGAGGTGAGGACCCTGGAGGTGGTGGGAGAGGTGAGGACCCTGGAGGTGGTGGGAGAGGTGAGGACCCCTGGAGGTGGTGGGAGAGGTGAGGACCCTGGAGGTGGTGGGAGAGGTGAGGACCCTGGAGGTGGTGGGAGAGGTGAGGACCCTGGAGGTGGTGGGAGAGGTGAGGACCCCTGGAGGTGGTGGGAGAGGTGAGGACCCCTGGAGGTGGTGGGAGAGGTGAGGACCCTGGAGGTGGAGGTGGTGGGAGAGTGCCCTGGAGTGGTGGGAGAGGTGAGGACCCTGGAGGTGGTGGGAGAGGTGAGGACCCTGGAGGTGGTGGGAGAAGTGAGGACCCCGGAGGTGGTGGGAGAGGTGAGGACCCTGGAGGTGGTGGGAGAGGTGAGGGCCTTGGAGGTGGTGGGAGAGGTGAGGATCCTGGAGGTAGTGGGAGAAGTGAGGACCCTGGAGGTGGTGGGAGAGGTGAGGACCCTGGAGGTAGTGGGAGAGGTGAGGGCCCTGGAGGTAGTGGGAGAGGTGAGGGCCCTGGAGGTAGTGGGAGAAGTGAGGACCCTGGAGGTAGTGGGAGAAGTGGAGGTAGTGGGAGAAGTGAGGACCCTGGAGGTGGTGGGAGAGGTGAGGACCCTGGAGGTGTGGGAGAGGTGAGGACCCTGGAGGTGGTGGGAGAGGTGAGGGCCCTGGAGGTGGTGGGAGAGGTGAGGACCCCTGGAGGTAGTGGGAGAAGTGAGGACCCTGGAGGTGGTGGGAGAGGTGAGGACCCTGGAGGTGGTGGGAGAAGTGAGGACCCCTGGAGGTGGTGGGAGAGGTGAGGACCCCTGGAGGTAGTGGGAGAAGTGAGGACCCTGGAGGTGGGAGAGGTGAGGGGAGAGGTGAGGACCCTGGAGGTGGTGGGAGAAGTGAGGACCCTGGAGGTGGTGGGAGAAGTGAGGACCCTGGAGGTGGTGGGAGAGGTGAGGACCCCTGGAGGTAGTGGGAGAAGTGAGGACCCTGGAGGTGGTGGGAGAGGTGAGGACCCCTGGAGGTGGTGGGAGAGGTGAGGGCCCTGGAGGTGGTGGGAGAGGTGAGGACCCCTGGAGGTAGTGGGAGAAGTGAGGACCCTGGAGGTGGTGGGAGAGGTGAGGACCCCTGGAGGTGGTGGGAGAGGTGAGGGCCCTGGAGGTAGTGGAGGAAGAAGTGAGGACCCTGGAGGTGTTGGGAGAGGTGAGGACCCTGGAGGTGGTGGGAGAGGTGAGGGCCCTGGAGGTGGTGGGAGAGGTGAGGGCCCTGGAGGTAGTGGGAGAAGTGAGGACCCTGGAGGTGGTGGGAGAGGTGAGGACCCTGGAGGTAGTGGGAGAGGTGAGGACCCTGGAGGTGGTGGGAGAGGTGAGGACCCTGGAGGTGGTGGGAGAGGTGAGGACCCCTGGAGGTGGTGGGAGAGGTGAGGACCCTGGAGGTGGTGGGAGAGGTGAGGACCCCTGGAGGTAGTGGGAGAAGTGAGGACCCTGGAGGTGGTGGGAGAGGTGAGGACCCCTGGAGGTGGTGGGAGAGGTGAGGGCCCTGGAGGTAGTGGAAGAAGTGAGGACCCTGGAGGTGTTGGGAGAGGTGAGGACCCTGGAGGTGGTGGGAGAGGTGAGGACCCTGGAGGTGGTGGGAGAGGTGAGGGCCCTGGAGGTGGTGGGAGAGGTGAGGGCCCTGGAGGTAGTGGGAGAAGTGAGGACCCCTGGAGGTGGTGGGAGAGGTGAGGACCCTGGAGGTAGTGGGAGAGGTGAGGACCCTGGAGGTGGTGGGAGAGGTGAGGACCCTGGAGGTGGTGGGAGAGGTGAGGACCCCTGGAGGTGGTGGGAGAGGTGAGGACCCTGGAGGTGGTGGGAGAGGTGAGGACCCTGGAGGTGATGGGAGAGGTGAGGACCCTGGAGGTGGTGGGAGAGGTGAGGACCCTGGAGGTGGTGGGAGAGGTGAGGACCCTGGAGGTCGTGGGAGAGGTGAGGACCCTGGAGGTGGTGGGAGAGGTGAGGACCCTGGAGGTCGTGGGAGAGGTGAGGACCCTGGAGGTGGTGGGAGAGGTGAGGGCCCTGGAGGTAGTGGGAGAGGTGAGGACCCCCCTGGAGGTGGTGGGAGAGGTGAGGACCCTGGAGGTAGTGGGAGAAGTGAGGACCCTGGAGGTGGTGGGAGAGGTGAGGACCCTGGAGGTAGTGGGAGAGGTGAGGACCCTGGAGGTAGTGGGAGAGGTGAGGACCCCCCCCCCTGGAGCTGGTGGGAGAGGTGAGGACCCCTGGAGGTAGTGGGAGAGGTGAGGACCCTGGAGGTAGTGGGAGAGGTGAGGACCCTGGAGGTGGTGGGAGAGGTGAGGGCCCTGGAGGTGGTGGGAGAGGTGAGGGCCCTGGAGGTAGTGGGAGAAGTGAGGACCCTGGAGGTGGTGGGAGAGGTGAGGACCCCTGGAGGTGGTGGGAGAGGTGAGGACCCTGGAGGTGGTGGGAGAGGTGAGGACCCTGGAGGTGGTGGGAGAGGTGAGGACCCTGGAGGTGGCGGGAGAGGTGAGGACCCTGGAGGTAGCGGGAGAGGTGAGGACCCTGGAGGTGGCGGGAGAGGTGAGGACCCTGGAGGTGGTGGGAGAGGTGAGGACCCTGGAGGTGGTGGGAGAGGTGAGGACCCTGGAGGTGGTGGGAGAGGTGAGGACCCTGGAGGTAGTGGGAGAGGTGAGGACCCTGGAGGTGGTGGGAGAGGTGAGGACCCTGGAGGTGGTGGGAGAGGTGAGGACCCTGGAGGTGGTGGGAGAGGTGAGGACCCTGGAGGTAGTGGGAGAGGTGAGGACCTTGGAGGTAGTGGGAGAGGTGAGGACCTTGGAGGTAGTGGGAGAGGTGAGGACCCTGGAGGTGGTGGGAGAGGTGAGGACCCTGGAGGCAGTGTGAGAGGTGAGGACCCTGGTGGTAGTGTGAGAGGTGGGGGCCCTGGAGGTAGTGGGAGAGGTGAGGACCCTGGAGGCAGTGGGAGAGGTGAGGACCCTGAAGGCAGTGGGAGAGGTGAGGACCCTGGAGGCAGTGGGAGAGGTGAGGACCCTGAAGGCAGTGGGAGAGGTGAGGACCCTGGAGGCAGTGGGAGAGGTGAGGACCCTGAAGGCAGTGGGAGAGGTGAGGACCCTGGAGGCAGTGGGAGAGGTGAGGACCCTGGAGGCAGTGGGAGAGGTGAGGACCCTGAAGGCAGTGGGAGAGGTGAGGACCCTGGAGGCAGTGGGAGAGGTGAGGACCCTGAAGGCAGTGGGAGAGGTGAGGACCCTGGAGGCAGTGGGAGAGGTGAGGACCCTGAAGGCAGTGGGAGAGGTGAGGACCCTGGAGGCAGTGGGAGGGAGACTGAGGGAGGGAGAAACAGTGAAGGAAAATTAAGCTTATGACTATTTGTATTTACAGTACTGAGTGTAGGGATAATTCTGGATAATTTCCCCTTATACGTATTATTCTGGATAAATTCCTCAAGATACATTTCTTCATTATTAAATTAATAAATACATCTGCATGAGTTATAACTCTCCAACGCCATATAAGCTCGTCTGTGCTGGGTAACTACTGCTGTTTAAATGTAGCTCTTGAACAGGTTCACCAAGAGCAAAGTGGGATGGTTCATGACCAAGATGTTCAACAGCATCATGAGGTACACCAGGGCAGACCCCATCACCAGGATGCTCCGTGACTCACACACCCAACATGTTCAACACCCTCCAGTCCTGCCTCCCTCCCTGGCTAACCTGTCATCAAACCCCACCATAAGGTGATTGATTTCCGTTGTCAGGGACAGGAAGCCTGTACTTAGCCTTGTCGAAGTCCCTCTAGGCCAACTAATGACCTGACCCAGGATGCCACCCACAACAGTTTGCTTACTCTCGAGTATGTATGTTACCGCTAGATGAACAGTGACGTCAGGTCCTACCCGGGTGCCCCTGGGTATGACCATATATATAAAAACACTGTAAAGTGGCCAAGTAAAAGGTTCTTTAATAAATAAAATAACTTTTAAATCCTTTAAAAGAAACACAACAGTGATTAAGGATTCAGCAGGAGCTGTTATATATGGATTGACAGAATCCTTCGTGTCATATAGTGGGGCCCGTGGACGGGGGCACGGCAGGCGCCGGGCGTTATATGTGGCGGGTCCAAATGTCATTGAGAAGTAGTAATGTGGTATTAGCGAAAGTGTTAGAGGAGAAAGTCTGAGTAACAACCTCGTAAGGCTATACAATGTTAGCTCTCAAATGGTGAAACCCACGTGAACAAGACATGGTTAACAAGCCATATTATCATTGTCCTCTGATGCCATATTGAATATGAATGGCTAAATGGTTTCGTGTTGAGCTTAAGGTCTATCAAGCACTGGAAGGTCATTAAGACAACACAACGGCTTACTGACCAGCCAGCAAGCATACTTTAGCCCTGGACACAATACCGGACTAAACTTCTTGTACACACCAAGACGCGGAGCATACCTCCATATACCCTCTGTGGGGACGGTGGTTTACCACTATAGATAAAAAATATATATTACTGCTATTGCAGGTATGAACAAAGTCTTTACAAGATGGACATACAGAAAATGGGAAAAATGTCTTAAAATGTGCGCTTGGTGAGCCTATATTCAAAAAAATTTCATTATTATTTATGTATGTATATTAATTTAATTAAATTATATATTATAGATTTATGCAAATGTAACGGGTATTAGAATGTATAAAGTGAAACTGTTTACCAAATAATATATTGAGACAGTCACCTGGAGTACTGAAGGGACTCAAACCCGGGACCAGGGAAGTGCCAACCGCTTACTCTACCACGTTACCACCACAACTTGGTCAAAAACTATACCACCGGGACGCTGGTGCCACCACGGGGAGTCTGGAGGCCGCTGTTGAACTTGGTGTAAAGTGTTACTTATAAACCCCAACACTGTGGTGCAGGCACAGTACCTCAACACTTTATGCTCCAACTTCTTGAAATACTTTTATTTGATTTTTTTAACAGTCTCCGTGGTGTAGTGGTAAGACACTCGCCTGGCGTTCCGCGAGCGCTTTGTCATGGGTTCGTATCCTGGCCGGGGAGGATTTACTGGGCGCAAATCCTTAACTGTAGCCTCTGTTTAACTCAACAGTAAAATGTGTACTTGGTTGTAACAACGATTCTTCGCGGCGGGGATCGTATTCCAGGGACCTGCCCGAAACGCTACGCGTACTAGTGGCTCTACAAGAATGTAACAACTCTTGTATATATCTCAAATTTATGGCAGGTATATATAAAACTTGGACTGGCTTCAGTAGAGGCATCTAGACTCCTTGTGGTTCCGTGGAATCCCAGTTGTATAACTGTATAAAGTTTGGATGGTACAGTGGTAGAGTAAGCGGCTGGGAGTTCCCTGGTGCCGTGTTCGAGTCCCCTCACAGCTCCAGGGGATTTTCTCATTGCTATATATTACATCAGTGGTATTTTTTGTGTGAAAATCATGTAATTTCCGTATTTGTTGGCATATATTGTGGAAAAAAAAATTGTAGTATATTTAATCATATATTTATTGACTGTGATGTCCAAGTGGTTGTTTAGAGGAAAACATGTGATTTGGTTCATGTAAATATGTAGTGTGGTTGTGGTGGACCAATCACGTCGTTGTATCCCCCGGCTCATTTGTCACTTTCCCAAGTGTACATAACATGAGGGACACACCTAGGTGGTGGAGGCGGGGCTGTGGTGAACTCTCCACGACCCACACATTACCCTCACAGACCAAGGGGCTCATGGCTTACCCTTTAGTCACTTATTTAGTAAGGATGGTGTAGAAGCAAATTTAAGTTTAATTAAGTTTTAAGCTTCATTATTAGTTTTGAAACATGCAATCATAGAGTTGATTATCATCTTTGGTTGCCTTTGATGGCAGTAATATGTTGAGAACTGCAACTTAATCTATGAGACCTGAGAAAAGTGAAATTCACGCCAGTTATTGTATCAGCCAATAAAGTGAGCAGACTAGAACAGAGGCTCTGCTACACGCACCTTTGGGAGTCAACACCACCTGGTGAAGCAGAGGTTACACAGGCTCTGCTACACGCACCTCTGGGAGTCTTCACCACCTGGTGAAGCAGAGGGTACACAGGCTCTGCTACACGCACCTCTGGGAGTCTTCACCACCTGGTGAAGCAGAGGTTACACAGGCTCTGCTACACGCACCTCTGGGAGTCTTCACCACCTGGTGAAGCAGAGGTTACACAGGCTCTGCTACACGCACCTCTGGGAGTCTACACCACCTGGTGAAGCAGAGGTTACACAGGCTCTGCTACACGCACCTCTGGGAGTCTACACCACCTCGTGAAGCAGAGGGTACACAGGCTCTGCTACACGCACCTCTGGGAGTCTACACCACCTGGTGAAGCAGAGGTTACACAGGCTCTGCTACACGCACCTCTGGGAGTATACACCACCTGGTGAAGCAGAGGGTACACAGGTTCTGCTACACGCACCTCTGGGAGTCTACACCACCTGGTGAAGCAGAGGTTACACAGGCTCTGCTACACGCACCTCTGGGAGTCTCCACCAGCTAGTGACCAACCGTTGTGTCAGCAGGACTACTCTTATACGTTACATCACTATGTTGCTGAATGTGCAAAGCCTCAAAATTCAGATATTATTATGATTGCTCAAGAAATGTGTAAATATTTCATTGAAAGTGATGTACTGCCAGAAATCGTGGCCAAATATCCAAAGTTTGTTTACTGTCCGACAGCACACACACCTGCCACAGCTGTCGTCCACTGTGTACTCACCTAATTGTACTCACCTAATTGTGCTTGCGGGGGTTGAGCTCTGGCTCTTTGGTCCCGCCTCTCAACCGTCAATCAACTGGTGTACAGATTCCTGAGCCTATTGGGCTCTATCATATCTACATTTGAAACTGTGAATGGAGCTAACTACTCTGACACTGAAAAAGTTCTTTCTAACGTCTCTGTGGCTCATTTGGGTACTCAGCTTCCACCTGTGTCCCCTTGTTCGCGTCCCACCAGTGTTGAAAAGTTCATCCTTGTTTACCCGGTCGATTCCCCTGAGGATTTTGTAGGTTGTGATCATGTCCCCCCTTACTCTTCTGTCTTCCAGTGTCGTGAGGTGCATTTCCCGTAGCCTTTCCTCATAACTCATGCCTCTTAGTTCTGGGACTAGTCTAGTAGCATACCTTTGGACTTTTTCCAGCTTCGTCTTGTGCTTGACAAGGTACGGGCTCCATGCTGGGGCCGCATACTCCAGGATTGGTCTTACATATGTGGTGTACAAGATTCTGAATGATTCCTTACACAGGTTCCTGAACGCCGTTCTGATGTTAGCCAGCCTCGCATATGCCGCAGACGTTATTCTCTTTATGTGGGCTTCAGGAGACAGGTTTGGTGTGATATCAACTCCTAGATCTTTCTCTCTGTCTGTTTCATTAAGTACTTCATCTCCTATTCTGTATCCTGTGCCTGGCCTCCTGTTTCCACTGCCTAGTTTCATTACTTTGCATTTACTCGGGTTGAACTTCAACAGCCATTTGTTGGACCATTCACTCAGTCTATCCAGGTCATCTTGTAGCCTCCTACTATCATCCTCTGTTTCAATCCTCCTCATAATTTTTGCATCGTCGGCAAACATTGAGAGGAACGAATCTATACCCTCTGGGAGATCATTTACATATACCAGAAACAGTATAGGTCCAAGGACTGACCCCTGCGGGACTCCACTTGTGACGTCTCGCCAATCTGAGACCTCACCCCTCACACAGACTCGTTGTCTCCTGTTGCTTAGGTATTCCTCTATCCACCGGAGTACCTTCCCTCTCACTCCAGCCTGCATCTCCAACTTTCGCACTAGCCTCTTGTGTGGCACTGTATCAAAGGCTTTCTGACAATCCAAAAATATGCAGTCTGCCCACCCTTCTCTTTCTTGCCTTATTTTTGTTGCCTGGTCGTAGAATTCAAGTAACCCTGTGAGGCAGGACCTGCCATCCCTGAACCCATGTTGATGCTGTGTTACAAAGTTCCTTCGCTCCAGATGCTCCACTAGTTTTTTTCGCACAATCTTCTCCATCAGCTTGCATGGTATGCAGGTTAGGGACACTGGCCTGTAGTTCAGTGCCTCCTGTCTATCCCCTTTCTTGTATATCGGGACTACGTTAGCTGCTTTCCAAATATCTGGCAGTTCCCCTGTTGCCAGTGATTTGTTATACACTATGGAGAGTGGTAGGCTCAGTTCTCTTGCTCCTTCCTTTAGAACCCAAGGGGAGATTCCATCTGGGCCTATAGCCTTCGTCACGTCCAACTCTAGTAAACACTTCCTTACTTCCCCACTGGTAATCTCAAACTCTTCCAGTGGTTCCTGGTTAGCTATTCCCTCACTTACCTCTGGAATTTCTCCTTGTTCTAAGGTGAAGACCTCCTGGAATTTCTTATTCAATTCCTCACACACTTCCTTGTCATTTGTAGTGAATCCTTCCGCCCCTATCCTTAATCTCATAACCTGTTCCTTTACTGTTGTTTTTCTCCTAATGTGGCTATGCAACAATTTAGGCTGAGTCTTTGCCTTGCTTGCGATGTCATTTTCGTATTGTCTTTCTGCCTCTCTTCTCATCCTGACATATTCATTCCTGGCATTCTGGTATCTTTCTCTGCTCTCCAGTGTCCTGTTATTCCTATAGTTTCTCCATGCCCTTTTACTTTGCTGCTTAGCTAGCCTACATCTTTGATTAAACCATGGGTTTCTCATCTTCATTTCTCTGTTTTCCTTTTGGACTGGGACAAACTTGTTTGCTGCGTCCTTGCACTTCTGCGTGATGTAATCCATCATATCTTGGGCCGTCTTTCCCCTGAGCTCTGTTTCCCATGCTATATCTGTTAGGAATTTTCTTATCCCCTCATAGTTTCCCTTTCGGTATGCTAACCTTTTGGTTTCGGTATCCCTCCTCGAGTTCAATAACCCTTCTTCAATCAAGTACTCAAACACCAGTACACTGTGGTCGCTCATTCCTACTGGGTCCTCAAAACCGATTTCTCTTATGTCGGAGTCGTTCAGAGTGAAGACTAGGTCGAGTCTCGCTGGTTCGTCATTGCCTCTCATCCTTGTGGGTTCTCCGACATGCTGCGTTAAAAAGTTGCTTGTCACCACCTCCAATAGTTTGGCTCTCCACGTATCCTCGCCTTCATGCGGTTCCTTGCTCTCCCAGTCAATCTTTCCGTGATTGAAGTCGCCCATGATGAGCAGGTGGGATCTATTTCTACAGGCAGCAGAGGCTGCCCTGTCAATTATAGTGTTAACTGCCTTGTTGTTGTTTTCATACTCTTGACTGGGTATCCTGTCATTTGGTGGAGGGTTGTATATTACTGCTACTACTATTCTTGGTCCTCCCATTGTTATGGTGCCTGCTATGTAGTCTCTGAACTCCTCACAGCCCGGGATGGCCATCTCCTTAAAACTCCATTCCCTTCTCATGAGTAGGGCCACTCCGCCTCCTCCTCTGTGTGTGTGTGTGTGTGTGTGTGTGTGTGTGTGTGTGTGTGTGTGTGTGTGTGTGTGTGTGTGTGTGGAACATTACTGACGCCCTAACACACCAAACACGCCAATTGCTCTGTATGCACACTGTTCTCAGCTACATCTTGAAACACTTGTCTTGTAAAAGACTATTGATAAATATACATAATATATACATTAAACTGTGTTACTAACATGGCAAGATTTTTAGTTGCTTTGGTAAATTAATTTTAAGGTTCCTTGTGCCCACGGGATGGGGATGGGGTCCACTCCCGCCCACGGGATGGGGTCCACTCCCGCCCACGGGATGGGGTCCACTCCCGCCCACGGGATGGGGTCCACTCCCGCCCACGGGATGGGGTCCACTCCCGCCCACGGGATGGGGTCCACTCCCGCCCACGGGATGGGGTCCACTCCCGCCCACGGGATGGGGTCCACTCCCGCCCACGGGATGGGGTCCACTCCCGCCCACGGGATGGGGTCCACTCCCGCCCACGGGATGGGGTCCACTCCCGCCCACGGGATGGGGTCCACTCCCGCCCACGGGATGGGGTCCACTCCCGCCCACGGGATGGGGTCCACTCCCGCCCACGGGATGGGGTCCACTCCCGCCCACGGGATGGGGTCCACTCCCGCCCACGGGATGGGGTCCACTCCCGCCCACGGGATGGGGTACACTCCCGCCCACGGGATGGGGTACACTCCCGCCCACGGGATGGGGTACACTCCCGCCCACGGGATGGGGTCCACTTCCGCCCACGGGATGGGGTCCACTCCCGCCCACGGGATGGGGTCCACTCCCGCCCACGGGATGGGGTCCACTCCCGCCCACGGGATGGGAATAGCGTTCATAATAAATGAACAAAATGATACGACACAATCAAAATGAGTGATACGTTGTATGTTTCTAAAAAAATAACATGTACACTAATCATTTTACCCATTTTTGTGTCAATGAATATATAGTGTTTTGTGCAGGGCCAGTGTGTGTGTGTGGGGGGGGGGTCACGATACCATAGTTGTAAATACTAGCCACCCCTGACCCCGTCAGTGTCCAGCCCGTTGTCGGCGGGGCGCTGGTGGGCGGCTGCCGGAGCCTGATGATGGCATTTGTCCGTTTGGAGCCTCGTGATCCTGCATCCTTCTTTACTAATTTTGATGGAATTACTTATTTAGCCATTCCAGGATGCTGTTATATTTATAGTGATGAAAAGGGAGGAGCATGATGACCTAGCATATGCCTTAATACAGCACAACACGGTTTTTGTTTTATTGACAAGCATATACAGTATAGGCTACACAGCATTGTGCTGCTATCCTAGTCTATATGGCTATATAGTATACGTCGAAGCTAGCTAGGTTCACCTAATATCCCCATCTCGCAGGATGGTTTGTCATACATGGGGTGAGAGTAGAGCCTTTATATAGTCTGAGCTGGCAAACTTCCGGTGGAAAATAAAGATATCTTTAAATATTTTGATGACCAGACCACACACTAGAAGGTGAAGGGACGACGTCGTTTCGGTCCGTCCTAGACCATTCTCAAGTCGACTTGAGAATGGTCCAGGACGGACCGAAACGTCGTCGTCCCTTCACCTTCTAGTGTGTGGTCTGGTCAACTTACCTTAGGCACGTTGTGACTCATCGCCTGCATCTTTAAATATTCTTTAGTACGTAAATTAGTTACAAAGCTCCGAATATATTATGTCATTGGTCTAATTTAAACTCTTAAATTTAAGTAATTGATAATTGGACATTTACAAGTATATAGATGAATTTATTTTAGGTATTTTTGTTGCAGTTTGCAGCTGAAGTGATAAGGGTTAGGAAAGTCGTTAACTGCCGTAAGAAACGATATTTCGGTCTAATTGTTAAAATCATTGTCGGGCGAAAGCCTTGTGCTGTCCGCACAGGAAGGAAGGAATTATCAGGGTGGTTGTGGTTGTTGTTTCAGATTCAGCTACTCATAACAAAAAGTTCCAAGTAGCACGGGCTATGGTGAACCCGTAAGTGGAGGCTCTTTGGCTCCAATTATAAAGGGAAAGCACCAGACTATATAGCACTTACTAGTTAGTGTAATTGCTATATTTGGATATCTCAATAGAACAGTGTAAATTTAGTGTGTGTGTTTGTTCTTTGCGTACAATAAACTTTGCACAAAGCAACGTCAGTTCACTATTTGCAAACGTTATAATCCATTTGTTTTAATTGCTCAATATAACGCTTATATCCCCATGCCTTATACAAACTACATATCATTAGTTGTGGGAAAAAATATTTTTAGAATTTTGCAATAAGCTACAACTCATAACATTCAGTATATCTCTAGGAGTGACAGCACACCAGTAAGTGTGTGTGTGTATTAGTTAGGCTTACATGCAATAAGGTACATGAATATTTGATAAAAGTCTGACAGCCTATCACATTAATTATACGATGTAGTAAAATATCATTATTCTATTTATTTGTCATTACTTTATTATTATTTATTTATTTATTACATTGTTGATTGCCTAGTGATTAAGACTTGTAAATAAAGTTGAACTTTAATGGAAAATACTGAATTCCAAAGTTAGTAGCATATATATCTCTCTTGAACAGACCAGACGTCCATGCTCTTGATCCATTATTTATCTTGGTGTACACAGTTTTGTGTGTCGTGCACTACTCTCTCCCACACTATAAACTCTCTCTGCCACTATAACTGATAGCACAGAATGCGCCTTACTCGCACAGTTGTGCTTATGGGAAAAGAACCACGTGTTGAAGCCATAAATTCCTTTCATTAATTTTCAGATTGTGTAACATTAGTCAAGAAAGATGACTTTTCCCATTATCTCAGCATAATCAAGAAAATACGACATGTAATGTCCACCGAAGAAAACGAATACAGTATAAATTATTTGGGAAAACAAAGTTAAATTAATTTATTCCGCTGGAATTTCAACACGATTGCTTGAGTTTATAGGATTCATGTTTGATTCCAGAGCAGTGTTGTCGGAGTCCTTAGCTAGATATGACTGACGGCTGGAGTGAGGGTACTGGCACAATGCACCACGGGGAGTGTGACATGGCGCCGCCACCAGCTCCACACCATTACCCTTCCACATCAAACACAGTTCGGCTTCGTGTCCATCTTCCTCCTCAAGAAAGGAAGCGGCGCCCACTGTCACCACAACAGGAGCACCTGTCACCCATCTCCACGTCTCTTCCACCCGTCTTCCACCTACCCAGTAGGGTGATGGAAGTGTGGAGTTGGTGGTGTGGAACAAATAGAGGTGACGGAGGGTGGAGTCGTAGGGTATTGTAGCCAAGTCGCCGCCGGCGTCTCTACACAGTTTCCTGCAGCCCTGCCAGGAGGCGTCAGCGCCAGGGAGAGGAAGGAGACAGGAGCCGTCCACCATGGAGTACTGGGGTGGACACCCGGCCGTGGCAACCCTCACCACTCTCTCAACCTGTAACATATGTAAAATGTTTTAGTTCTTGTTCGGTGTTGGACTTCAGGGCCGTCAACCACAGGACAGTCAGGGGTGGCGTGAGGTACTCTCACGTATCTAACATTACAGCTCCAACACTTTAACAGATACGAGACTACAATATGGCTCCAGGATCAATGGATAAAGGATCTTTAAAATTAGAACTAATTTAAAACAAAGCAGCGATATAATGTTTTTTAGTTGTAATTGATCAAATTTCTTCCCAAAAAAATGATATTTTGGATTATCTTGAGGTGATCTTGAGATGATTTCGGGGCTTAGCGTCCCCGCGGCCCGGTTCTCGACCAGGCCTCCTTTTTTGTTACACATCCCCAGGAAGCAGCTCATAGCAGCTGTCTAACTCCCAGGTACAGTCCCTATTTACTGCTAGGTGAACAAGCACATCAGGGTGAAAGAAACTATGCCCATTTGTTTCCGCCTCCATCGGGGATCGAACCCGGAACCTCAGGACTACGAATCCGAAGCGCTGTCCACTCAGCTGTCAGGCCCCCATAAACAGGCCCATCCAACAATAGATTACAAAGATGCTTTAGTAATTTGTTTAAAATTTTGTTACAACTCAACAGCCACCGAAGATGGAACCCGCGAATCTTACTAAAGAGAAGCTGTAACAGTTTGGGTGATCCCTTACACCGGGAAGATGGATCGGTGTAGTTTGAGTCCGGTTTGGTTTATTATTATTATTTATCATTAATTAATTAATTATAATTCTTTATATTGGTAAAAAGTACATATATACAAAATGAGTTACAAGCAGAATGTTAGATTTCTATATAGAGCTTGTATATAATGTTTCGTTCACCTGGGCATTAGGAGACTCGAACCGTCGACCCTACATGAGTGAGGCCGAAGCTCACACGAAGCTTTTAGTATATACTGAGCCTAAAGCACCCAATGCGCACAGTGTATCGCGCAGGTCAGAAAACAAAACTTAAAAACTAAGACTTAAAACTGAGATCAGAAGCATGAGTGTTGTCTGGGGGCAGAGTTTGTTATTGTTAGGTTAGGTTAATTACTTTGGGTCAGTAATTTGCAGTCTATCATACCAGTTTGCGTTTCATTATGTGATCACTGGATTACCGTTCATGAAAATAACCAGCATAGGTTATTTACATGAATGGTCCAACAATCGTACATTTTAACGTACTCTTAATTTGTAGACATGTATCGCAGCTCCGAGCCTCTTACCTGAGTCAGTTTCCTCTCAAGCTGCTCGGCCACGGTGTGTAAAGCAGCAGAGAGCTGGTCGGCGGTGGCTTCTGCAGAGGCGACGGCGGCCGAAGTTACAGTTGTTACTGCGGCGTCCAGGTAGCCCAGGGAAGTCTGTCGCAGCTTCTCCAAGGTGCGGGAAGATTTCGACAGCATCTCCTGCACCGTACGTTCAACCCGGGAAGTCATCGACGCAACCTCCGACGACACCTATCGCAGAGGAATGGGTTATACTGCCCCCTGCCATAAATAACACGGTTAAACTGCATAAAACAGGATGGGGTGCCTGTAGTAAAACACACAAGCAGAGTCCTGCTGTGTGTGTGCCGTGCTGGATGTGTTATATGCATGAGTGTGGAGGAGGAAGGAGGACACGTGGCGCGAGGAGCACTAACCTGCTGGGCGTGCATGTGGAGGCTGGTGGAGTAGTAGATCCTGAGAGCGGACAGTTGGTCTGAGAGCCGCGTGAGGTGGTCGACCAGCGCCCCCTGCATGCTGCTCACCTGTGGCAACCCTCCCAACAGTTACTCTCCGACACCACACTACTAATGAGTAGTCTTAATTAAAGGTACTGTAAAACCTTAATCACTTAAGAGGTCACATGGAAAATAAAATCAACAATTTTGGTAAAGCTTAGACAAAATAAAAAGGGAAGGATATTTGAAGGAAACTTGAAGACATTCACAGTTTGTCTTCAAGGTAACATGCATACAAAATGTATCCCCCGTTATGTTGCAATATTTTATAGAAAATGAACTTATTATATAAGTTTGCATTGATACAGTCATAAGAAAGAGAGCGTCTTTGTTCAACAATTTTTTTCAAGTATTGAATTTTCTGTAATTTCTAGATTATTCAAAGTCAGGCCAGTTAGTTTTGAGCACGTGACTGGCGCTCATGCCATCAAGGACGGTCCTTTGTTCTGCCTTATAAAGCACATAACTTTGTTAGATTTTATATTTCTAAGCCAAATTTTAATGGCCATCAAAATATTGCTATATTTCGTTTTTTCTTATGAGACATTATATTACCAAGTTGCTACAATATTTTATGCTTAGTAACTTTAATTATGGTTGAGGTCATCATCTGCCTTTGTTGACAATCCAATAGGTGGGATTGAATACTCAAGAGGTTCACAATCACATACACTCCAGGGTTCGATATCCGGGAAGGACGACGCGTTTGAGTACTTTACATCAAATACATCAGTTGGCTTAGCAGTAAACGGGTACCTGTGAGTTACTCAACTGTTGTGGACCGTCCTGGGGATCTTCACGCCAGTCATTTGTTCACCTAGAAGTATATAGTCACTGAGGACTGGACCAACTGTCCTGGGTAAAGTCAGCTGTTGACCTTAGGAAGACCTTGTTAAGTCTAGCCCCCCCCCCCCCTCTCCCCCCGGTCAAGACATCTCTGGACATACGATATTGATTTGACACTGAAACAAGTTTGATAACCCTGATTTAATGTTGCTTGAACATATTTTGTCCGCTGTGTTATAACAGGCTTCAGGTCCCCGATAACGGAGAAGCATTTTCTTTCATTACTGCAGTTCATTAAAAGGTTAACGAGCCCGGCAGCTCTAACCACTCATGCTTACGATTAACTCGAGTGTTTGCTAAGATTTGGTGGTGGTCTGCTGACCAACACTGTGCCGACCTCTCATGTCATGTTGAGGCCATTCTTGCCTGTAACATTAAGATGAAGAAGGATGCAAGCATTGTGCTCAGCCCCTGAACAACCAAATGTTGTTCAGCCCCTGAACAACCAAATGTTGTTCAGCCCCTGAACAACATTTGGTTGTTCAGGGGCTGAACAACCAGTTTTATTCCTACAACTGTTCAAATTTGTTGCATGTCACCTTTAAGACTTTGTTTACCAGTCATTTTTTGTAATGATCTATTTTAGAATCTGTTTACTTACTCATAATAATGTTTTCATTTCATTACATATTGATAAGCACCACAAGTATTGGTCAAACACATAATAAAACCGTACATACGTTGGTTAGTACAGTGAAGCTCGGTATCTATATTATTGCACGAATTCACTGTTACATTTACTTAAACAGCGCACACTCTGCAACTTCATGATCTTCATAGTTGCAATGTTACCCTAATTACAGCAGTTACAAATTATCTCATATTAAAAGCAAACTTACAAGATTTCTGAATTACCATAAATAATTAGTGAATCTCCTAATGAAGGAACACACTGAAACACTCGTCTGACAGTCTGTCTGCCTGACGACTCATTTCACTCAGCATCACTGACATCTTCCCTTCAGATTTGGGAATAATGATGTCTGACGACCTAACGTTTAGGGAGCATAACCAAGCAAATAGTGCGTCAGCCAGAAAAATGATAAGATGGATTACGAGAATTTTCAAATCCAGGGATCCCATCACAATGGTTGTACTCTTCAAGTCACTTGTGTTGTCCCGTCTCGAGTACTGCTCAGTACTCACTTTCCCCTTCAGAGCAGGAGAGATTGCTGAAGTAGAGGGAATACAGAGAACATATACGGCACGCATAGACGAGATAAAGCACCTAAATTATTAGGATCGTCTCAAAGCCCTCCAAATGTACTCACTAGAAAGAAGACAAGAGAGATACCAAATAATATACACGTGGAAAATACTGGAGGGACAGGTCCCAAATCTACACAGTAAAATAACAACGTACTGGAGTGAACGATATGAAAGAAAATGCAGAATAGAACCAGTGAAGAGCAGAGGTGCCATAGGCACAATCAGAGAACACTGTATAAACATCAGAGGTCCGCGGTTGTTCAACGTTCAACGGTCCTCGGTTCAAAGAACTCCCAGAACCCCATGAAGCAGGTATCAAGCAGATGGAAGTGCTTCGTCTCAGATGGAAGCTTCTCTCAGACAACTCTCAGCATCTCTAACATCTTCCTCTCAAACGACTCTCAGCATCACTGACATCTTCGCCTCAGACGATCGGTCAACACTCGCAGCATCCGCCAGCTGTAACCTATACACAGAGTGGCATCCCAAGAGTTGTGGGTTGTATCCTCTTTCACAACTCACGGTGTCGTCCAGTAGTCTGAAGGGTCGGTCGCTGTATGTGATGGTTCCGTTAGGAGGCACCTCGGCACCCTGTCAAGAAGGGACTTAATGAATTTAAATATTATATATATATATATATATATATATATATATATATATATATATATATATTAGTATATTTTGGTAGCAGTCTTTCCTGTAGACATATATTATTAAATATGACCGAAAAAGTAAGATTAATAATTCTAACACGAATTTTCTCAATCTTTCGTACATTACGCTTCACTGTTGGAGGTAAATCAAAAATCACTTCTCCAAAATTCATTTTTATTTCTAGTCTGACGCGACACGGGCGCGTTTCGTAAAACTTATTACATTTTCAAAGACTTCACAAATACACAACTGATTAGAACTTACGTATCTCTGCTATTATATCTACATTTGAGTGAGGTGGGAGGGATGATGTGGCATTAACACAAGACAGAACATGAGGGGATATTAATAGGGTATTAAAAGTATCAACACAAGACAGAACAGAAACAATGGGTATTGAATAGAAGTGTTTGTAGAAAGCCTATTGGTCCATATTTCTTGATGCTTCTATATTGGAGCGGAGTCTTGAGGTGGGTAGAATATAGTTGTGCAATAATTGGCTGTTGATTGCTGGTGTTGACTTCTTGATGTGTAGTGCCTCGCAAACGTCAAGCCGCCTGCTATCGCTGTATCTATCGATGATTTCTGTGTTGTTTACTAGGATTTCTCTGGCGATGGCTTGGTTATGGGAAGAGATTATATGTTCCTTAATGGAGCCCTGTTGCTTATGCATCGTTAAACGCCTAGAAAGAGATGTTGTTGTCTTGCCTATATACTGGGTTTTTTTGGAGCTTACAGTCCCCAAGTGGGCATTTGAAGGCATAGACGACGTTAGTCTCTTTTAAAGCGTTCTGTTTTGTGTCTGGAGAGTTTCTCATGAGTAGGCTGGCCGTTTTTCTGGTTTTATAGTAAATCGTCAGTTGTATCCTCTGATTTTTGTCTGTAGGGATAACGTTCCTATTAACAATATCTTTCAGGACCCTTTCCTCCGTTTTATGAGCTGTGGAAAAGAAGTTCCTGTAAAATAGTCTAATAGGGGGTATAGGTGTTGTGTTAGTTGTCTCTTCAGAGGTTAACCTCTGAAGAGACAACTAACACAACACCTATACCCCTATTAGACTATTTTACAGGAACTTCTTTTCCACAGCTCATAAAACGGAGGAAAGGGTCCTGAAAGATATTGTTAATAGGAACGTTATCCCTACAGACAAAAATCAGAGGATACAACTGACGATTTACTATAAAACCAGAAAAACGGCCAGCCTACTCATGAGAAACTCTCCAGACACAAAACAGAACGCTTTAAAAGAGACTAACGTCGTCTATGCCTTCAAATGCCCACTTGGGGACTGTAAGCTCCAAAAAACCCAGTATATAGGCAAGACAACAACATCTCTTTCTAGGCGTTTAACGATGCATAAGCAACAGGGCTCCATTAAGGAACATATGATCTCTTCCCATAACCAAGCCATCGCCAGAGAAATCCTAGTAAACAGCACAGAAATCATCGATAGATACAGCGATAGCAGGCGGCTTGACGTTTGCGAGGCACTACACATCAAGAAGTCAACACCAGCAATCAACAGCCAATTATTGCACAACTATATTCTACCCACCTCAAGACTCCGCTCCAATATAGAAGCATCAAGAAATATGGACCAATAGGCTTTCTACAAACACTTCTATTCAATACCCATTGTTTCTGTTCTGTCTTGTGTTGATACTTTTAATACCCTATTAATATCCCCTCATGTTCTGTCTTGTGTTAATGCCACATCACTATATGCCACATCATCCCTCCCACCTCACTCAAATGTAGATATAATAGCAGAGATACGTAAGTTCTAATCAGTTGTGTATTTGTGAAGTCTTTGAAAATGTAATAAGTTTTACGAAACGCGCCCGTGTCGCGTCAGACTAGAAATAAAAATGAATTTTGGAGAAGTGATTTTTGATTTACCTCCAACAGTGAAGCGTAATGTACGAAAGATTGAGAAAATTCGTGTTAGAATTATTAATCTTACTTTTTCGGTCATATTTAATAATATATATATATATATATATATATATATATATATATATATATATATATATATATATATATATATATATATATATATTAGGGGTACCACCTTTGGTGCAATTGTAGGGACCCATAGCCTCGAAGAAGAAGAAAATGAGTATTCAGAGAAGACCTTGTGGATTCTCACTGAACACTTTAATCTTTTCTTCTCCTATGACCCCTATTATTGTTTTTTGTATATATATATATATATATATATATATATATATATATATATATATATATATATATATATATATATATATATATATATATATATATGTGTGTATATCACGAAAATAAACACGTGATTAAGAATGTGACAATGTCAGACCACGGAGGAAAAATGAAACAGGAAATTTCCTTAAGTACTTTCGTATATTAAATACATCTTCAGAAGGTCCAACATTGTTGGTGTCAACGTTGGTCTGACATTGTCATATATATATATATATATATATATATATATTGGTGTATACTGGCAGCAGGTTTTCTTTCAAACATGTTTCATTGAATATGACCGCATATTCTGTATTTATTATTTTCTGGTTTAGGGCTTCTATCCCTCTAACTATTTTCTTAGCATCAGGGCTTAATTGGAATAGGAGTTCTCCAAAACTCATTTTCGTACTTTTAAGGTGAAGAAAAGAAGTGATTTACTATAGAGTGTATTACACTTATTTGTATAATTTGCACGACGTTTCGAACCTCCATGGTTCATTCTCAAGTGAACAGATCTTACAATACTAGTTGATTTTATACCCGCATTAGGTCAGGTGATAATACAATGAAGGTGAAAAACATGGGGGGATACATAAGGGATAAACATAGGGGCTGCAGAAGGCTTATTGGCCCATACGAGGCATCTCCTATCTAAACACAAAGATTAATCCAGTGTAATTGGCCTGTTATGTTGGACATTGTCTTCTGTGTTGGCATCGATATGTTCTTGTCTTGTCCTTACTCTCATGGTGGGTATATATATATATATATATATATATGTCGTACCTAGTAGCCAGAACGCACTTCTCAGCCTACTATGCAAGGCCCGATTTGCCTAATAAGCCAAGTTTTCATTAATTAATTGTTTTTCGACTACCTAACCTACCTAACCTAACCTAACTTAACTTTTTCGGCTACCTAGCCTAACCTAACCTATAAAGATAGGTTAGGTTAGGTAGGGCTGGTTAGGTTCGGTCATATATCTACGTTAATTTTAACTCCAATAAAAAAATTGACCTCATACATAATGAAATGGGTAGCTTTATCATTTCATAAGAAAAATATTAGAGAAAATATATTAATTCAGGAAAACTTGGCTTATTAGGCAAATTGGGTCATGCATAGTAGGCCAAAAAGTGCGTTCTGGCTACTAGGTACGACATATATATATATATATAATATATATATATATATATATATGTAATATATATATATATATATATATATATATATATATATATATATATATATATATATGTATATATATATATATATATATATATATATATATATATATATATATATATATATATATATATATATATATATATATATATATATATATATATACAATGATAATAAAATTGTAATGAGACATTGTAACCCCCCCTATAAGAGTTTTTTCTTAAACTGTTGTGCAATATTATAACTTAAAAATGTATCAAGTAACTTGATCCATTTTTCCAAGGGCTGAGTCTAAGTTGAATAGAGAAGGCCCCCCCCCCCCCCCGGTCCAGCCGACAGCCTATCTCGGTGGCTGTCTGCTGCCCTGCTCTGCTGTGCTGTCTCTGTTGTCCTTTTGCTTATTCCTCTTGAATCTACAGCTCCCTCAGTATTTATTGTGAAACCTAGTAGCTAACTCCGCCCACAAGTAGATAGCCCCAGGCTCTCTACCAAGCCACACCTAAAACTGGCTGCTTGTTTGAAGGCTACCAGGCTACAATTATCAGATTAGCAGAAGCAAGGTGAAATTCACATGAGCTGACCTCAGGTCAACTTGAGGTCATTAACGCTTAGAGGTGTGAGTTTCAGGCCGACAGAATGGCGCCTCTCAAATCCTTGTCTCTGACTCATGAACTATATATATATATTAAATAAAACTAAATAAAACACCTTTACGGTGTTTCATAGCGTGTGCTGCTTTTATGTGAAACAGATGGCGCAGCTTTAAAAAAAAAATGCATGTTTTTACCTGTTTCAGGTGTGGCATCTAAACAGTAGGTATATAAAAACATTTGTGTATTTGAAAGGAAAGTTGTGTCAATTTCAAGGTAATTGGTGAAGAACTTTTGGAGATTACAGCATGTGTTGCTCTTACGTCCAACAGATGGTGCTGTTTTTCAAAAAAGCATGTTTTTATCTGTCACAGGTGTGGCATGTATATAGAAGGTATATAAAAACACGCTCATATACGAATGGAACATTGTGTAAACACAATGATCAATGCAATACTTGGCCTACTATGCAAGACGCGATTTGCCTAATAAGCCGTTTTCCTGATTTTATATATTTTTTCTAGTTTTTCTTCTTTATGAAATGATAGTTATTCATTTCACTATGTATGAGTAAATTGTATTTTATTGGAGTTAAAACTAACGTAGATATATGACCGAACCTAACCAACCCTACCTAACCTAACTTAACCTAACCTAAACTAACATAACTAAGTCAATTATTTATGTTCTTAATATAATATAATATTAATGATTCAAATAAACTAATTGGAAACAATTTATTGAAAAAATAGAAAATCATTCAGCCTATTAGGCAAAATGGGCCTTGCATACTAGGCCAAGAAGTGCATTCTGGCTACTAGGTACGACATATATATATATATATATATATATATATATATATATATATATATATATATATATATATATATATATATATAGTCAGATAAGGCAATTGAGTATTCAAATTAAAACCAGTA